AAAAATACCTTTTAAATGATTTATTACACTTGATCTAAAGGTTCATTATTCTCATTTTAAAAAAAATTTGGCATTTCTTTCTGGCAGTAAAACAAAATAGTCCAAAATTAAGTTCATATGTGACATGCCCACTGTATTCTGCAAGGATCAGCTATTTGCAAAGCATCATGGGAGAATAAGAAAGATGATAAATTTTGATTTTGTCGTGGAATGAAGATTATTCATTGCTTTGCTGTGGGATTTGTTTTATACTTAAAGTATTTTTAAAAAAGAATTTAATGTACACTTCAACTGAAAATGATAATCTAAAGTGCTACTCATTTGTAAGGATCAATATACAGATGATTGTATGATGGTTATTTGTTTGTTAGATGCACTGAAAATTTTCCTTCCCCATGGAAAAAAGATCTAAAACTGGGAGTGCATCTTATGTCAAAGTGTTTTGGTGCATCCTTTTCACAGTGTTTGTTCATCATTTAAATTGATTTTTGGCTTTACTCTAAGTCGGCTGACAGAATTTTCTCTGTTAGTGTGCATGTGTGAATCACTAAGACTGATGATGGGTCTTTTAACTGACATGTTGACATTGTCAATTTCTCAAGTTTTGGGTTATTCTTGCAACTGGAAACTTATTACAGCTGAATAAATACAATATCAGCTGAATAAATACAATATTGCCCACCTGAGAGGGCTTTAATCAACCAACTTCCTATTGCCCAAAAAAGTGTCACAGAACTATGCAGGTAAAAAACTAAGAACAAGTAGTACACAGTTAACTATTTGACCCCCAATTGTGACCAGCATCAGATTTTCCCCAGTGATATCACTTGTGAATAAAAGATTAAGGTTATGAGGATAAGAGAGATAATCACCAACTGTAGAAGCTCTTGATTGTTAAGCAAATTCTCCTTGTCAGCATCATGGGAAATATTTATATAACTGTGAGGAGAATATACATACTGATGTTAGGGTGTAAAGGGTTAAAATTTCTGAAAACAAAAAAGATATTTTTACCATAACCAATTAGCATTGTCTAAAGTAATTGTGATGTGCACAATACAATTTGCAACATACTGTTTGCTAATTAAATATGCCTAAAAAAGATAAACTTTTTTTTCTTTAAAAGTATTGCATAAGAGATTTTCATGGGTTTCATTTAATATGATATGTTGCTCTTGCTTGGGTTATGATGTTAAGATCACGGTACTGAATGTGTACAGAACCAACTGTATGAAAATGTTTTTCCCCAGGCAGGCTTTTCTATTGATATCAGCCAAGTGATTTGGTTAATATTCCTGTGATCATGTTTTATGGAAATTGTATCCTGTTTTGTTATTTCATGAAACATTCTCAGCTTTAGATTTTCAGATGAAATGGCCATTTTCCCTAATAGAGGAATATGACTTGAAAAAAAGCAAACCTCATAACTTTTAATGGTAATTTTTAAATACAACATTAGAAGTTTACAGTGGTCTTTTTTTTTTTTGCACTTAACTTTCTGTGAGTTTTGATTGATTTCTTCTGTTACAAGGAATTAATTAATTAAAGTAGAACTGCTAAAGAGCATAGAGCATAAGACTCAATATCCCTGTACTTAGGTGAGGGTTTTGTAGATCTTGAAAATTTTTATGATTTCAGTAGGGAATATTTCACAGACTTACTTTAAGTAAAGGGGAACAGCAAATTAGACAGATTTCCTTTAGCAATAATGTATTAAGTTTAGTTTTCCCTTATGCAGTAGTCAATTCAGAGCTTCAACATTCCCCTCCCAGGGAATACCCCTGTCATTTAAACTATAAGCTGCAGCAACTTAAACATAAATACATGTGCATTTGTATATTTCCATGCAGTAATTTACATCATATGATTCCAAAAATGATTTCTATTTTAAGATAATATTTAGGATATTAGTTTGGTGGTAAGGCAAAACACTTTTGATTTTATGATATGGACTATCATTTAAAAGTTGAATCCTGGAAGTATTTTCATGCCACAGATATCAGTTTGGTTCAATGGCAGTTTAGCTTCAAAACCATGTGCTAAAATGTGACCCAAGTAAATCTTAAGCCACAGTTAGGTTTGTGAACTGTACTGTTTCATCCTGTGTTTTTTACATTCACCCTGTTAGTGTAACTAGTTGCCCATGTATGTCATGCCCTGCATTTTATTAAAGCCAGTGTCCAAACAGTTTGAATTGGACCCCAGGTCTTTGCATTTTATGCTTCAATGCTCCACCTTCTGGCTTGAGAAAATATTTAAACACTTTATTGCCTGAGAGTGAACACAAGATGTCATTACATGCTCAGTATATAATCTTAGTTTCTGAAATTTTCACAACCTAAAGGTGATTGAAAGATCTGCACACTGAAGGCAAAAAATCATGGCCCCCTCCAATATCAGACTTGATTTACCACTCCTGCAACTTCTGGAGCTTGTTGTCTTTGTATTTTTTTGGTAGAGGTGATATCTTACAACAATCAATGCTATGAGAGCTGCAATTTAAGTTACAGTTTATTGGTATACCCTATATGTACTAGGAAAGAAAAAACAACATTTTTTTTTTTCACTTTTGACACTTCTCTGTCTTTTCAGTTACCACCTCCGCACCTGTTGGTGTCATTTATAGCATAACCCAAAAATACCTTTCCAATGATTTATTATATGTGGTCTAAAGGTTCATTATTCTCATTTTAAAAAATTGGCCTTTCCTACTGGCAGTAAAACAAGCCAAGCCAAAGTTTAGTTCATATATGACATGCCATACTGCATTCTGCCTGGATCAACAATTTGGAAAGCATCATATGAGAATGAGAAAGATGATAAATTTTGATTTTGTAGCAGAATGAAGATTGTTCATTATTCTGCTTTGGGAATAGGTTTATACTTGGAGTGTTTAAAAAAACTTTCATGTTCATGTTCACTTCAAAATTCCCATCTACAGTTTAACTCATGCGAGAGTTATTTGGTTTTAAGGTGCACTGTTTTTCCTTTCCCACAGAAAATAGATGCTAAACTCAGAGTTCATCTTGTAGCAAAGTATTTTGGTGCATCTTTGTCACAGTGTTTGTTTATGATTTAAATTGATTTTTTGCTTTACTCTAAGTCTGTTGACAAAATTTTCCATCTTACTGTGCATATGTGAATCACTTAGACTATTTATGGGTCTTTTAACTGACTTGTAGACATTGTCAATTTTTCAAGTTGTGGGTTCTTAATATAACTGGAAACTTCTTACAGCTGAATATCTATAGTAATGCCCACCTGAGAGGGCTTTAATTAACCAACTGATCATTGCCCAGAGGCTCATGTTACAAGTGTTCCACAACCTCAAAAAAGTGTCACAGAACTATGAAAGTAAAAAACTAAGAACAAGTGTTATACATTTAACTTTTTAACTCCCAGTTGTGATCAGCATCAAATTTCCCCCCACAATATCACCTGTGAATCAAACATTAAGGTTATAAGGATAAAAGAGGTAATCACCAACTGTAGAAGTTCTTGATTGTTAAGCAAATTCTCCTTGTCAGCCCCTTAGGAAATATTTAGATAACTGTAAGGAGAATATACCTAGTGATGTTAGGGTGTAAAGGGTTAAAAGTTCTGAAAATAAAAAATTGGCCAGGTCTGAATTAATTGTGATGAGCACAATACATTGCAATGCAATGTTTGCTTATTAAATATGCCAGAAAAAGGTAAAAAATAGTAATTTTTTCTTTGAAAGTATTGCATAAGAAATTTTCATGGGTTTCATTTCCTAAGATTTGTTGCTCTTGCTTGGGTTATGCTGTCAGGGTCACAATAAAGAATGTATACATAACCAACAGTAAGAAAATGTTCACTCTCTTTGTGTGTGATCCTGTTACATGTAATGTGGTTATTTTAGAAAGAATTGGCTTGTAATGCTTCTATTGCTGATGTAAACCAATGCCGAGGGAACTCAGTATTAAAATGATATGAATTTATTATATATTACAATTAAACACAATGTTGTTTAGGTCTTGGATAAAAATCTTGTGGCAAATTATGATCCATATATTAGTCATATATGTTAAATTATTTCCCTAAAGAGAAAACTCTGACAAGCAAAATTTAAAAATTGTTGTCAGTATTTAACTGCATTAAATTTTGAATTAAAGTTTTTATCATTTTCATTCCTGTGTTCTATTGAGCAGTGAATTTGTTGTCATTACAAAGCCTTCAGTTAACATTTTGAGTGGTTCAGCGGTGAAATGCTATTAATAACTTTCTTATAAATTGTTATGTGATTTGATTTTTTTCAGGAATCTCTGATCCCAAAGACTTTATTCCTTCAGCTGGCTCCTTGTTTGACCAATCAGCTGGCTTTTGGAATACCACTGTGAGGATTGCAAATGGTGTGTGAGGGAGCTCAGGTAACCATAAGGCTGTCAAATAATAATTATTATTATCCTATGAGTATGAACTGAAGATACCTGGAGTATTGTAATTTGTAACTATCATAATAAAATGTCTCCCTTGTCTTAATACAGCGCAGATTTGATGATAAGTTTATAATATTTTAGTCAATAAACTTCTATAGAGACACGATTATATAGGTATATTATTCCTTCAGAGTGCAAAAACAATCCCTGATACTCTAAAGATGACAGGTTTCTTTAACCCTTTATACCCTAAGAGTGACTAGCATCTAATTTCTCCCTACAATATCAACCCTGAATCATGCATTAGGGTCATGAGAATGAAGGAAATGATTATTAATTAAAGAGAACCTTTTGATCAGTAAACAAAATCTCCTTGTCAGCATCTAAGGAAATGTGTGAAGAAAGTATGGAGAATATGCATTATGACACTAGGGTGTAAAGGATTAAATAGTGTTGAAGGAGTCAGACTGATTAGTAGAGTGGAGAGGTCTTGCTCCTCTTTCTAGTACATCTCTAAGAGAAGCAATTACCCAATTGTAATGTTTCTTTCAGAAAACGCGCAGGTACACCTGATGAATCAATCTTTGTATTTTGGATCCTATGGCATCTGCTACTCCTTCACCTCTTGCCAGTTCTGTAGAGAAGACAAATGGATCCAAGCTCAGCCGACTTCTCATCGATGGTGGAACAACAGTTCTCAGGAGCATTTTCAATGGATATCATCCCCCAGCAAGTCTTTCAGCCGCGTTGAATGCAAACTATTCAACTCTGAATACTCTCTTAAAGAAACGAATTTTACACAGATCACAATGGTATCTATTGTTTCCTCCAAGCGGTGCTCCTCCAGACTCCCAGACATTTGATATCACTCTTTTATTCCTTCTCTTAACCAACATTTGTAGTCTCTCCCCACCCCATTCAGGGTGGCACACCAAACCAATTCCAAGTGACAACTCCCTTGAAGCAAATCTTGCTCGCATAAAGTTTTACCGCAATGAATTGTATGGCCATGTTACCACAACAGGTATTGCTGATCCAACTTTCTCAACTCTGTGGCATGAGATCAGTGTTGTCCTTGTTGCTCTTGGCTTGCGGCAGGCAGAAATTGATAGATTGAAGGCTGAGCATTGTGGAGAGCAAGAGTTCTTAGATGCGTTGCTTGAGTGGGCTGATTCTGAGGAATATATAAAATCACAGTTGAAGGACATACGGGATATTGAGACCAAAGTGCTGCAAACTGTTGATGAAGTACGGCAGATTCAGTCATTTGATCACGAAACTATTCGTGAAAGTAAAGCAAAGCTGGTAGAAGTTCATCAGTTGCAGAATAACTTGCAAGAATCTGTCAGTATTGTGCAACAGAATCAACTTCAAGACAGTAAAGCCATTCAAGATACCAAGTTAACAGTTGAAAAAGTCTGCGAGAAGCTTCAAACTTTGGAGGAGGCATCCCAGCACACCATTCAAAATTTGAATGACGAGAATGAGATGGATGACATCAGGGATGACAAAGTCCTTGCGAAACTAGCAAACGTGGACAATTTAAATGAAATAAGACGCCATGCAAGCAGATATGTTGAGGGAACTCGTTTACCGATTCTTAAAGAAGTCGAGAGGTGGTTAGCCGACAAAAGTTCTCCAAATAGAGTGATTGTTATTAGCGGGAATGCTGGAATGGGAAAGTCTGTAATCTCAGCTGTCTTGTGCCAAAAGATGTTAGAGGCTGGACGATTGTCAGGGAGCCACTTCTGTCGGCATAACATGGCACGGCGAAGGAATCCCAAAGTGATGCTGCAGTCGTTAGCCTGTCAGCTTTCCGAATCGCTGCCAGAGTACAGGAAGGCTCTCGTGAAGAAGTTGTTGAGAAATGTGGGCGTTGAAATTGGAGACATGGAAGTGGAAGAACTGTTTGAATTCTTGTTTAAAGAACCTCTTTCAGATTTAAAAGATCCAGACTCTATCCATCTCATGGTTATAGATGGCTTAGACGAAAGTGAATACCAGGGGCGTAATGAGCTTTTAAATGTGACTGCGGATTACTTCAAGACGCTTCCGTGTTGGATACGATTTGTGGTAACAACGCGACCTGAAATGAACATCTTAGAGAAGATTCAAGACTTAAATCCCATACAACTGAACCCAAACGATCAAGAAAACTTGATGGATGTTAGGCTTTGCTTTCAAGAGCAACTGGAACATGTTCTGCAATCTGATTGCCAGGATACCATCTTAGAGAAGCTTGTTGAAAAGTCAGAAGGAGTCATGTTATATACCTATTACCTGACAGAATTCATTAAGAAGAATGCTGTGCGTATGAGTGCTGCTGAAGTGATCAACAGCGACTTGCCATCAGGTATTTCGTCCGTTTATCAAGACTACTTCAAACGCCTGAAAAATGAAATGCAGAAAGAACTAGGTATCACCGAAGAGCAATTCTTCGATTTTTTAAATGCCATGGTGGCAGCAAGAGAACCATTACCTGTCGAGTTTGTCTACAAGTTGTTCCTTTCAAAAGAATGGTCATCGGCTGATGAGCAAAAAGTACGAGACGCAGTTGATTGTATCTCGGCTCTTCTACCCATTGAGGGCCAGTGCATTAACTTCTTTCACAAGTCAGTCAAGGACTGGTTGGTTGAGGAGTCTACTTCGAGGCAAAAGAAGTTTATTGTTAGCGGAAAAAAATGTCATCGCGTCATTGCAAAGCTTTGCAGAGATGAACTAGATGAATTGAAACTTAAAGGAATCCAGAGTTCAACACTTAAACAGACATCGAGGTATGCCTTGCAGCATGGTGTTCAGCATATACTTGAGGTAGAAGAGAATGCTCGTCCGTGTAGCCTCGACGACATTGTAAAGAATTATGTTTTGGACCTAGAATTGGTCTATGCAAAGCTAACTGTGAAGAGTACAGCAGCCACTGAAGATGTTCTTTGCGTACAAGAGAAGGAAAATACAAATGGTCTGTCAAAGAATTGCAGAGAAGCCCTTGAGACGTTATTGTTGCTGTTGCGGACGCATGTAAGTGCCCTTTCAATACTTCCTCATGCCATCTTTCAAATCTTATTGAATAAAGGAGGGCCTGAACTGTCTGCGAAGGCATTAAGCTTGCTAAACACCAAGTATACGGACTTACCATATATGGAATATTTGCGAAAGAAGGAGGAAAGAACAGATGTTCTACTGCGGTTTTTTGCTTCAGATGCGGTGATCTGCTTTGATGTCTCACCAAATCAGGACTACCTGGTATGCGAGTGTTCGAATGACACAATTCATCTGTGGTCGCTCCGTACTGGCCAGCTTATGTGGACACGCTCTACGCTGGTATCAAACAATGTTTTTCAGGAGCACCTAGGGAACGCATTGGATTTCCTTTCCCCATTTTGCCGGTCAGTAGTTTTCCATCCAACCTTAGACCTGATCTTACAAGGCACTCTGTGTCAGGGTTATACCTTGGTCGGAGACGTGAAACCTCTTTTCCGTTCGAGCGAGTGCCGGTTCTTAGTTTGTTCAATATCTGGCGACAAAAGCACGATGCTGACTGACTGTCTGGACGGGAATTGCGTCATCCAGTGGAGTCTAAAAGATGGAAGTGAAATTAGTCGTTTTACACACGAATGCGAAATTTTATCTTTTGCTTGGTCTGCTTGTGGAAGACGGATGGTGATCATCGATTCTGACAAGTGCGTATACCTCATTGACATGAATGATGGATTTGAGACTCTAATATGTGCTTCAGTTTTGTTACGATATGTTAAGTTAACTCCTGACTGCCGGTTTTTTTTCTGTTTGGTTTCGGATGACGATGAACATGTTTGGTGTCTGGGGCCCAAGCTTTTTTGTTTAGATATTGAAAGGAACATTAAGTCAATTTATAGTTTGGATCGCTTTTTTAGGACGGGGTCCTACCAGTACGCCTCGGAATTTGAATCTTGCAATGAGAGTGGTTTCTTATCAGGAGATCCCTTTTGGTCTTCATCTATAAGATCATTCCTTTCTGTGGATTTTGCACTTGTACTAAAAAAGCAGATGTTACTAAGAGTTTCCCCTCTTAGTAACGTGATTGAAATGTGTCGCCTTAATGACGTAAGGGAGTGCAGAGGTGAGAGTAACGATGAAGCGGGACTAAGCATAGAACCCGTTGACATTACGACAGAGAGAGAGCCGAAAATAACGATCTAACGGAACATAACCTACTAGAAATCAACGATATGCTGGAACAGAAAGCTGAAATCGATGTTCTGTCAGGACAGAGAGCTGAAGTTGCTGATCCATCAGAACAGAGAGCTGAACTCGGTGGCCAAGTTGAACAGACAATGGAACGTAACAACTCTACGGAAAAGAGAGATAAACTTGATGACTTTGTGGGAGAACGAACGGAATTTAATGACCCACCAGAAAAGAGGCTGAAACTCGATGAACTGTCAGGACGATTGGAAATTGATTCATGCAGCTTATCAGAGAATGGAGCTGATTCTTATTCTAACGGGGGTAAGTTTCTAAAGAAACTGTGGTGCTGTGTCGGTGGGAGAGTATAACAGGGTACTTAAGTATTACCAAATGAGTTGATAACGTAAACTGGTCATCGTTCCGAGCGTTAGCCCTCTGTCAATCGCTCTGACGAAACGTCAGCTTTTAAACTCTTTACGGTGGCCAATTTACGTTATCAACGCAGTTGATAATACTTAATTACCTAGATCCTTATTCTGTTCTCTCTTTCCTAGATGATCAGGAACAACAGGAACCCCTACTTGAGGACATAGAGGGAAACGGTTTTGTTGAAGATGATTACTTTAAACCATTAGTTGACGTTTATTTCTCTGTTGATGGTGACTATCTTTATACTGTGAAAGGTACAAGGATCCAGCGAATAAATCCTGTGACTGGCGATGTTTTAAGTGAAAGGATTAGAAAAAAGGGAGTTACGAATCTTGTGCCCGTCAAAAGAGGTGTCCTATTTCAAATAAACTTAGAAACGCTTGAGTTGTGGAACTCTGAGTTGTCTGTTTGCATGCATAGCTGGACTGGCTTTGTCGGGTTTGTTGAACCCTTATCAGAGGAACGAGTCGCCTTGTGTACATTTATGGGTACCGGAGTCATCATTCTAGATACAACAAGTGAAAAAATTGTGTCAACGATTGCAAATCTTGATGGTGTGTTTTTGGCATGCAATAATAAATATGAAGTGCTAACCACCACTGATGCAAAGTTTCTGCAGCTGCGGCGTGAAAACCAAGTGCTATGGAAAAGTTATATTCAGGTAGATCTACGCAGCTGTCCCAAAGGTGTTTTATTTTCTCCTACTGGAGAAAACATCGTCACTTGTGGTAGTACTGGCTCTTACGTCCTCGACGCAGTTTCGGGAAAAGTGATTTGTCAATTGGAGAACATGGATGTAGATGATATTAAGTTTATCAGTAACGAGGACTACATTGTAAGCTTGAATGATCCAAGAGGTTTGTGTCTTCGATTATACAACGTTATATCAGGTGATCTTCTTAGTGAAATTGTGGAGGAACGTCGAATTCGAAGTTATGCAGCTTGTCCTTGTAACCGCTTTGTCGCAATTGGCTTTGAAAACTCCAAGGACCATTTTGAAATCATTCAAGTCAAGCTGCCAGGCGACAAAGAAAAGACGAAAATCAAAAGGTCAGTTGAAACAAAGTTTATTTGAAGACAGAAAAAAAATAATGTGCATAGTAATATAGTGTTAATAGTATTAATAGTAGCAGTAATAATAATAATGATGATGATACTTAATAATAGTGTGATAATCATAACAATAATGATGATGGTACATGTAATAATAATGATAACAATAGTTATGAGAACAGTCATGATGATTATTATAACTATGATGATACTAATGATAAATAATGGTAATAGAACAGAGTGGAGTCCACTTCGGTCTGTAATCATACGAGAGATTAGCAAAATCGGACGACCGCAAAGCAGGAGTCCGATTTGTCAATCACGAGTGTGATCATAGACACAATTGGACGACACAAAGTCCTATATCAATTTATCATAACCGTTACAATTTTCAAAGACAACAAACACATTGAGGACAAATATCTCCGGTAGAGACAATTTCTAAAGTGAAAAATGTCTCAATTTTGGAAATTCCACAGTTTTTTTAGTGTTAGTGGTTGTTGCTATGGTTGTTGTGATCAATTCTGTGATTGGTGGATTTGGCGGAAAGGACTCAGTATAATTGGACGCTTCAACTATCCGATCTCAGGTGTCCGATTACAGACAACTGTCCGGTTACAACTGTACAGAATGATTTGTGAAAAATAACTACTGATCACTAGTTAATTTACTAAAAAATACTCTATTACTTGAGATGTTGCCTTTGACTTAACTTCTATTATTGAATTTTTACGTTAGGTTGAACCTCCCAGAGTAGGACATCTACAGAGATTTACAGTTTCGTTGCTGAATGGGAAAGACATTGTCAGAAAGGCTGTATTCCGCTGATTTCTTTGCATTCGAGTGGTTACGATCTTCTAGTCCCGACATCTGAACAGGAGAGACCGCTGATCGAGATTGGAGCGAGTACAAGAATGATTTTAGTGACAAAGCTGTTCAAGGTTTTAAATTATATTTTTCTTGTAGAGACTTCATAAACATTTTTAACTGTTCCTAGCGTAAACTTAAAACAAATATTTTACGCTGTAACTCCCATGAGTGACCAAGAGAGAATTTCTTCTTACAAAATCAATAGAATATCAACCAGATAAGTGATGAGAATAAAGAAAAATCTCAATTTGGGGATGAGTTGATTCAACACTAAATTCTCTGAATAACTTTATAAGAATTGTATGGTAGACTGTAAGGAGAATCGTAAATTGGATCTAGGAGTTAAAGGGTTAACGATATATTTTATTTCTCCTCTGGTGTTTAATTACCCAGCTACAAGCTGAGAAATTGTTTATGGAAGCGGAGTGTAGTAAGCATCTCGTTTAGTGTTGATTTGCAACTCGTTTAACTCCTGAGATTAATTCCTCGAGGAAAACGAAAAAGGTATTGACAAAACGTACAGTTCTCAGAAAGGCCTTAACTTCTTTTTCTGCAAAAGTACTTGTACAGCTTTAGACTGTTAGAGAAGAAGAGAGAAAGAGCTTGTGGTACCACTGGTGATTCTCTCGTATTTTTCGTGTGAAAGAGGCACTTTCAACTGTGTGTAAATAAGAAACCAGCTAAATTTAAATCAATTTTATGTGTACATAGCTTATACCGGTCTAGTTGAAGATGGAACCAGAATGACCGTGAGGCAATCATTTTTCAACATTATTTCCGGGAAAGAAGGATATTCAATGCGGTGATTCTGGATACAAATTAGTTTGCGTAGTTTTTTAAATTTGAAGACATTACTTAGTTTTTGAAAATACTTTCTTTTATCGGGAATGGGGGCTGTAGTCACTCAAAGTGAAGTAGTTTTACAATAAAATCAAAACGGAGAAGAGATTTAATGTCCAGTTGATGTGAAATTCTGTGGGCATAGCCCTAAGCTCCAGTAGGTGGCTGTTACTAGTCATTTGGTAAGGTGCCCGTGTGAGTCAGGGCATCGTTGCATAGTCAAACGCACCAGGCTGGTGAGGGGTTGAAACGTGTTGACCCTTTTCTACTCCCCCCCACTGGGCCCTAACCGCCTGACTTTGTGGAGGGTTGGGCGGAGGGGGGGAGGGGTGAAGCTTCAGAAAAATTTTCTTCTGGGCTGCTCTATTTATAAGTTTCAACCAAAAAGGGGAACTCTTTTAGACACCTTTTGAATCAGGAAGTCTCCCTCTCTAATTTCCTTACAATTATAAATGAGAGAAAAAATTAAAAAGCAAACGAACATACACAAAACATATTTTGTGAAATAAAATAGTCAAACCAGTTATCTCAGGAAACCCCATAAGTTAAGAGTAGAAAAAAAACCTCACCCGTTCCTAATTTGAATCTTCTTGAAGATGTGCTCCTTCATGGTATAGAAGACACAGGAAACAATAATAGAACATCACATCATCAACCTATTGCACATACTGGTTTCCTTGTTCTTTGGGGTTTTCTTTTTGTTTGTTTTTATTGTGCTACGTCATCAGTGTCCGTCTACATAAAGTTAGAGCTTGAAATTTAAGGGCGTCACTACACAGTCCATGACTCGGGGCACCGACAGGAGGACACCCTTACATCAGAATGTATATTCTCCATAATGTTCATTATTTATTTTCTTAGGTACGGACACGGAGAATTTGTTAAACAATCATTTCGTCTATTCTTGATTCAGGGGTGATCTTTAACCCTTTAACCCTACGAGTGACCAGCTTCTAATCTCTCCTTACAATATCACCCCTGAATCAAACATTAAGGTTACGAGAATCAAGGAAATGATCACCAACTTATAAAGCTCTTGAATTTTTAAAAAATTCTCCTCGTGAGCGCTTCAGGAAATGTATAGAGAACAGTATGGAGAATATGCATACTGAGTTAGGGGGTAAAGGATTAAGGAAAAATTATATACCAATTGCTCGATACTCACGAGCAAGGAGTTAAGGTATAACTTATTAACTTTTACTATTTTTATCATCCAATCACAGATCGGAGCCATTCCTGTATTTAGTCGCTAGTGTACTTTTGTCATGACGACATGTTATTTTGTGTCAATACTCTCCGTATTCGCCCGTTAGATCCCGCACTAGTTCCAGTCTCTTGATTCTCCACACTCGACTCGAGTGTAGTAGCAGATTGCTTCGGTAGGCATATTTCCTACAACGAGGCGTGCTCTTGGTTCGCCATTGTTTCTCATGGTAAAACTGAACTTTTTTGTTACCAGCGAGGTTAGTCAGCATATAATTATGAGTGGTCTATCTATTTTCAGAAATATATAAGCCTGATGTAAGTTAGTTTGGCTGGTTTTTACTTGAATCAGGCTCGTTTCCGCGTTCGATTTCTACGCTCGTGGTTCGTGATTTACATCAGTTTTTCGGTGAAGTTTTTGTGCTTAAGGGTAAAGAACATAAGTGTTTCGTAATGATGTCTTCTAGGCTTTGCGCTGAAGGTAATATCAGAGAAATCAGGATCATCAGTCTGGCTACACAACCATTTTAAATCATCTACTAAAGGTAAGCATCGTTTTTGATGATACAAGTGAGTACAATTGAATAATACACCCAATTGACTGCTACCGTGTCGGTTGAAATGTGGATGTGAGCTATCTCAGTCTTTCATGCCGCTTCCAAAAGTAATTTTCCCTAGGAACGCTTTCCTATTGATATCAACCAAGTGATTTGGTTTACATTCCTTCGTGTTTTATGTAATAATAATAATGATGATAAAAATAATAATAATAATAATATATAATTATATAAGTATATATATGGATAGATATTGACTAGGAAATTAGGTTAATTTATGACATGGCCTCTAGGCTACGCTTAGCGCCCGACTGTGCCATTAGGATTCATAGCATTAAGATGTGTAACACCGCTGACATAATGATAATTACATCTTTAGCCAGGGTAAACCCATCAGCAATTGCTGATATCAATGAGTGTCCTAGTAAATTATACAAAACAATACTGAAGTGAATAAAACTTAAGTAAAACTAAAATCTCAATCATAATTGAAGGTAATTATTAAAGAAACTAAATATGTATATATGATGATGAAAAATCATTTAAAAAATTATCCTATTTTTGATTTAAATATTAATGATGACATAATTGATTTTAATTCAGGTGACAAATCATTGCTTAGTGCATAGGACTCAATATTCCTGTCCTCAGGTGAGGGTTTGGTAGATCTTGAAAATATTTATAATTTCAGTGGTTAATATTTCACAGACATACCTTAGTATAATGGAAGTTAGTAAATTGGACAGATTTCTCTGAGCAGTAATGTATTAGGTTTAGTTTTCTCTTATGCAGCATAATCAATTCAGAGCTTCAACATTCCCCTCCCAGGCAATACCCCTGGCATTTAAACTTTTGAAGATTGGTTTGTTCAAGTTCCATGTCTACTTATGTGTAGGACAAACAGCAACTTAAACATAAATACACATGCATCTACATGTATATTTCCAATAATTTACATTGCGGGATTCCAAAAATAATTTCTATGATTAGTTTGGTGGTGAGGCAAAACAGTTTTGATTCTCTGATATGGACAGTCATGAAAAACTTGAATCCTTGAAGCATTTTCATGCCCCAGATATCTGGTTCAATAGCATTTTAGCTTCACAACTGTGTGCCAAAATGTGACCCAAGTTAATCTTAACCCAGGGTTAGGTTTGGGAACTGTAGTGTTTCATCTTGTCTCCTACATTCACCCCACTGGTGTAACTAGATGTAAATATATGTCATACCCTGCATTTTATTGAAGCCAGTGTCCAAATAGTTTGAGTTAGACCCTAGGTCTTGGCATTTCATGGTTCAATGCCTTACCTTCTGGCTTGAGAGAACATTTTAACTCTTAGATGCTTGAGAGTGCCATATGGCAAAAGATACCATTACATGCTCAATATTTCATCATTTTTCTGAAATTTTCACAACTAAAAGGTCCTAGAAAGATCTGTACATTAAAGATATAAAATCAAGGCCCTCTCCAATACTTGATATACCACTCCTGCAACTTTTATAACTTTTTTCTCTGTACTGTTTTGGTTGAGTTGATATCTTATAGCAATGG